GCACACAAATTCATGCTTGGATTTTTTTTCCCTAGTCAATAAAATAGGCTGGTTTTTGTTTTCATCTGACACAGTCCTGGTCTGTCTTGTCTTGAAGTCAGAACACTATGTTTGCTTGTCTGGACTTGCTTTTGTGCATCGACACCAATTCTTAGTTTGTGAACTTTTTGCCATATTACTTCATATATTGTTTGCTTGCTTTATATTATATTTTGCCCTGTTCTTTTCCTTTTTTTCTTGTTATTGCTTATTGCAAACTTTGTCAATTCTGTTTGTTGCACAGTTTTGTTACTTATTTTGCATTTGAACATGGCTACTCATGCCAGAGTATAGTGAAAATATATGTCTACTCACTCAAGTATAATTCTAGTTTTTATGATCAGCTTTTTATCCCCAAAATATGGGGTCACATTATATACAGGTAATTTTTTGAAGAGGCTAAAAATTATGCATTAATCTTTTCATACATTTTCTTGTGCAAGACCTTCTTGATTTCATGTTACTGTTTGGGCCAATGTTAATATTAATATCAGAAAAACATGGAGTCTCAATAATTCAGCTGATTTTAACTTTCATATAGTCTTATGTTACAACATTAAGGAATTATTGATACTATAAAGATCCTTTCTGGAATTTGTTTTAGATGAATCATGAAATTTTGTCACCAGTTTGTCTGATAGAATTGAGCTATGTAAAACACAATGCAATTTAACTGCCAATTAAAATAGTACATTTTTATTTTAAAATGAAAATACTACATTAAAAAGAAATTTGCTGAAACAAATGTAGGTTATACATAGACATTCATATTACCTTAAATTAATCTGTTTTTTGTTTTCAATTGGATAGTATTACAGAAAATAAAACTTTCCTATATTTGTGCTATAAAAGTCCCATCAATTTGAAGGGTTTCAGAAATAACAGATTGCTTTCATCTTGACTGTATCCTTTGAACAAACAATTTTGCACCTTTAGGCAAGTTTAGGAATAACAGAATAAGCATTATTAATTTAAAGTGTGTTAAAAAAAGATAAAAACATACACACATTAAAAGAAAGAAAGGATAAAACAGATTCAGAGTCCTAACTTGTAAAAATAACAACTTGAAAGGATAAAATAATAATAAAAAGAAAAAAATATTTACAAAAACTAATAGCAAAACAAATACAAAAGCAAAGGCAAGGAAGATTAAATGGCTGTAACACGATCTCATTCCCAACTACTTAAAGAAAATGTTTCATTTGCTTCTTGGGTAGTTGATTTGCAATAAAGCTATTGATGGGTGATGAAATTGAATCAACCTCATTTGTCACACTGTTGCTCTTTTTGATATCAGTAATTTAATGCAGTTATTGCTTTTAAAAATCTAAAACAACATAGAGAGAGAAAAAAAAAATCTTGCATCATTAATTGATCCAGACAGACAGAGTGTGGCCATTAAATCAGCTGTAAAAGAGTCAAATTGAAAAAGATGTTGAGAGGGCTGGTACAGAAAATGATAATATTTAATTTTTGGATTATGAGACTGTCAAGTAATTATGTGCTCACTTACAGATCAATTTCATGTGCTACAAAGTTAATTATTTTGTAATTCTCTAAACTATAATCAATCAGGAAGTAGCCACTAGAATATGAAATTATGTCTTTTTGTAAAGGTCCATTAATGAAGGTTTTAGGTATACAGAGATTAAACTGAAAGCTCAGCTAGTTTATCAGTAAAGGACGGTAACCATCTTTCTCTTATATTCTTTCTACTTATCAATCTCTAAAAAGTAGGAAAACAGAATGTAAATACATATGTGTTTACTTAATTAGAAAATATTCAATGAAAGATATATATATATATATATGGAATTCAAACTTGGCTCTCAGATTCCTCAATCTGAGCTGCTATCCATTACTCCAACATGCCTCTTGTCAATTCCATTACATTTACTTCCATGCTAATACCCTTGGGAAAGGTATGAATCCACTTCCTCTCCCCTCAGTTATGGGTAAATAGCAAGACATTTATTTAGCCTTGGATGGCAACTGGTCTAGGAGAAGAAAAACTCTGAATTGAAAACCTGCGGAGAGATGTTTGGGGACCTTGTGTCAAATGGTGCACTAGGTTTCTGTATTCAGCTCTTCAAAAAGTGTGTCTGGTTCTGTACAAAACCTTCACCACTAAAGTCAAATCATATGTGCAGGTTATCTGGCTGTCAGACACTAGTGGTCTAAACCTCATTTTTAATTTTACTTTTAACTGAATGTATGGGTTGTGTTATGTATGTATCTAGAGTTATAGGGATGTTTTTGCTCCTGATCAAACTGAACTCATAATAATCACATCAGTCATCCAGATGACTTATGTTACACCTATCTAACCACAACTCCATTAGAACTCATTTAAACACACACACAAAATTAAAAGACTCCATCTGAAACATACTAGTAGAAAATACAAGTATAATAACCTCATCTGCATGTCAAAAAAGATTAAAAATAATGGAAGCCTTAATAATAAAAAAGAAAAATCCAACACTGAATAACATTAACTATGAACATGGCCACAATGTGCTGACTGTTTGGAAAATAAACATTGCTATAACTCTAGATACATATATAACACAACCCATACATTCAATTAAAAGTAAAAAAAAACTCAATTGAAATATTTTTCTTTTCTCATATGTTTAGCACTGTGGCTCTTCAAAAGTACATGACTTCATAAAGCATGATTCAAATGTATTTTATACAAATTTGTATTATGTATTTGCATACATTATTACATACACTTGCATGTATGCATGGATATATATATATGTGTGTGTGTGTGTGTGTGTGACCTGGGTTTGAATTTCACTATAGTTAATTTTTCAGGAAGGTGATTGTTGATGTGTGCGGTTAACTCCACCTACTTTCTTGAAACCAATACTAGGGAACACTCTCCAGACTATAAATATTCTGCGATAATTTTTTGTAGCCTCTTCTTACTTTTTCCACTTACACATCAACATGTAAGTCTCTCATGGGAAAATGCGTTTCCCATTGGGAAACATATGAACATACCTCACACACACAACACATGTATGTATGCACATTCACTCACTTCACATACTTTGGACAAAAAAGGTTTTCACATTCTTTTGTTGTACACATCATTGTCTTTGTTACTTGTATATCTTTCTTGTTAATACATTATCATTTATTTGTACATGTATTTGTTCATGTTGTTTCTTTCTATTTATTCATGTGGACTCACATACTGAGTCCACCAATTTTGTTGTGGGTATTTCATGGGCACACTGCCAAGTGGTTAGAACATTCGCATTCTGACCATGAGACCCAGGTTTGAATCTCACCATGGTCGATTTGTCAGGAAGGAGACTTTCTGATGTTATCAGACTGGAGGGGTCAATCTCAGCATGTGGCACCTTTGGAAAGTGCCCGAAAACCATATCACAAGTTGACCCAAGCCTTGTAAGTGAAATTGGATAGACAGAACCCTTGGGGGGCCATCGATAACTGTGCTAGCACAAATTCACAAGTCATTGTGGCTGAGGGCTTGAGTGTTGAGTGTGCTGGCTTTGTTCAAATTGTTGATCATGTTAGATAACATGCTCTTTCCCAGAAACTGTAACTATGGTCTGCTCAGCATAGTTGCAGTATAAACCACAGGTGGGGTCTGTGGGTATTGAATAAACACAAATGTGCCTGGGTAAGCATCTGCAATAGGGATTGGCTAGCTGCTCTAGTAGATGTGCATCCTCGAATATGAGTGGCCAGCTATACATCTCAGGAGATGTGTTATTTCTCAACATTACTAACAGCCCGTAACAAAAGTTATCAGAGGAGATGATTCCATTATGTGGTACCTTTGGAAAGTGCCTGAAAACAATATTATGTGACAACCCAAGCCTTGTGAATGAAATTAGGTAAACTGAACAGTTAACAAGTCATTAGTTAGCACAAAACCACAAGGTTTTGAGTGTACTGATGTTCTCCAAATTGACAATTAAGCCAAAGTATAGTACATACTCATATAACTAATATCTTCAACAGGAACTGGCTAGCCACTTGAGCAGATGGGTCTACTCAGAAGATAAGTAGCCATTATGCATACATAGATATATCATACATAATTTCTTAATCACTTATTATATTACCACCTTTGAAGAATATATCAATGGATTTTTAAAACAGTCTTCATAATTACTATCCTATTATCTATATTAAAAGCAAAAGAATATTTGAGTGTTATTAGAAGTCTTATTAGCCAGTTTGATATTATATGGAAACTTTTAATGATTGATTATTGATAATGTTGACACGTCTAAATTAATGAAGAAACTAATTTGGTTTTTCAAGAGAAGATAATGACATAAGTACTATATAAGTTGGTAAGATAACCTGGTACTTCTGGTGGCATTAAGGTTAATTCCATGTAATTAATAGTTGACATTTAATTTAAGATAATGCGGGTGATCAGAGAAAAATATTTTTAGAATAACAAAGAGAATGATCTAGTTCAAATTTATCTTGGAAATACAGAGTAAAAATTTATTTGTCTGTGACATAAGTAATGAAATAATATCTGTGCATTTGAATATTATCATAAACATAAAAGAAATAGTTTTCAAGATTTTAGTTGGATTTACAATGTAGAGGGATGGGATCTGCCAGGTTCACTTTACCCAAAATACACAGCACATATGGAGCAACCCCACAATCACATCTGGTGGTGGATTGATTGATTTGTTTTCTACAGCTTATCAACACTTTTACAGGTTATTTAAAGCCAGAAAATATTTTTAGATTATAAGAATTTTTTTAGAGATAATGAGGATTTAGTGATACAGATTTTATTAATTAACCCATAGCTGGGGAGAGAAGTGGATTCATACTTTCTTAAGGATATTTGCATGTAAGTAAATATAATGATCGCAACTGAAATTGGAACATAGCTCTTCGATTAACAATTCTGAGCCATTATCCATTACACCACCTGCACATCCAAGCTTACAGCATCTGGTATTCCCAAGCAGTCACTCATCTAGGTACTGACCAGAGTCAATGTTGCTTAACTTTGGTGATTGTATGAGAACCAGTGTTTCAATGGAATATGTCTGTAAGCCATGTGGTTTTGGTGGTGATGATAATGATGATGCTGTAGCTACTCCCCCACCCTATAATTTAGTTATATTGATAAAAACATGGACCTTTTATTTGCTACTTGGTTATTAGTAAAATAATCTAAACTTAATTTATTCGAAGCAATTTTTGCTTTCTCAAATCTGTGTCATTGATATCAAATTACATTTCAAGGAACATAAAAATGTGTACAGCAAGTCAGCTTTATATAAAAAGAGTGGAAATGCATTTTCATATCTACAGACATTCAGGACACTTGCTCTAATATAAAAGATGATTATGTGAATGTTATATCTGATAATTAACTTGTTCTATGCTAAATCTTTAATCTGAAGTTTGACAGCTGAACTTCAGTTATGTTCAGCTGAAACTTTAAGAAGGATTTAGCAAGGTTAATGATGGGAATCAATAAAACTTTAAGCTGACATTCATCCATAGCCTCACATTCCAATCAGTTTGCAATAGAATTTCAATTAGTGACAGCAAATGGAGAACTAATCATGACCTTTCCAAGAAAAACTAAACAAAAATCTGTACAAACCCATGAGAAATGTTCAATGCACTTATTAACCAACAAGGAATAAACAATATTAACCTTTTTCATACTGAATTTAATTCTTAAATTTACATTTTAAGCTAATTGAATTTGTGAGCTATCTAAACAAATTAACATACATACATATATATATATATATATATATATATATTTTACAGTATGGCTCACCCTATACAAGGCCTGGGGGCCACTTGAGGTAGTGGGTTACTGTTGTGATATGGGGGTCTGGTAAGACAACACTTGAAAGTGTCAGACGTAATAGTAGTATTTAATACTCAGCCAGACAAGTCACTGCAATAATTTTTTCTTCTTCCCTCCTAGACAATTACTCTGGATAATTTATCATGAATGAATCATTGCATTCATGATAGTAAGGTAGGTAATTGGCTCTTACCACAGCAGTTATGTTAAGGGGTAGTTTATGCGGATAGGAGGGAAATATAATGGTTAACTCCAGTCCAGTTGTTTGATAGATAAAAATACAGATACCCCATCAAGCACCACAAAAAACTCCAAAACAAATTTACTTTAAGACACTGGATCTAAAGAGTAGTATTTATTGAATTTCACATGAGGAGGAGGAGATGATTATTATTATTATTATTATCTCTGATTTTTCTTGTATACAGATTTCCTTCTGAGGTCAGAAATGGCATCATGATATTTTTCACTGATCATTTTTGTAAATAAAAAAAAAAAAACTAACATCACACACATTTTACATAGAGAAAGCTTTTCATAATGTGTGAGTAGTTACTCATGAGTACAATATTTTGTATTTCTTTAAGGCATGGGCTACTAGGAATCCTTTCAATGGGTTTATCAGAACCTTTTCCAATCAATCTGAGGGCTCCAATGTCTGGGTGATTAGCTTTGATTGTTTTGTATGTGCATATTGTAAAGTCCCATAAAATTGTTACAGATCTTATCTCTTTAACTAAGTTTGGGTGTTGTTCATATCAGTTTCTTGCAGTTTTCTTTCTATAAAAGTTGTTTGTTTTCCAGTACAGATATTGGCTCATTCTATCATGCCAGGTTTTGTATTCAGTGGATGCCAATACTGTGCAACCTGATACAAGATGGTCAATTGTTTCTGGATATTATTATTAAATACTAAAAAGAAAGAAAATTGTTATCCCAAAGCTCACAACCTATTATGCTCAAAGTATAAATTAATTGGAATAGTGGAATATTGAACTGAAAGATGTGGAAGCAATTTGAGAAATAGAATTGATAAACAATATTTTGATTCTATATCTGTCTATATTTCTGAGATGAGGTATTGTAATTATTTACACTATTTACATTGTTTGGACTGTTGTCCTCATCTCTGTTGTCATATTCACAATTTTCGACTATTGTACACTCCGGCCTTCTTCAGATAATTGGAATTTTAAACTGAACCTATTATTTCATCTACTGAGGCAGATTGTTCTTGCTTTATGTGTCATGCCACTTCTGGATCTTTCAGTTATCTCCCTTTAACTCAACTCTCCAATTTTTGTTCAACACTGCAGTAGCCAGGTATTGAACTCACAACACTTTGGGTCAAGTCACTGGATCCAACCAATATTTTTATCCATATCCTTTTTTATGGCCCAGTGGATAAAAGCATTAGTTGGATCCATGAACAAATAAAACTAAAATATTTGATGATTTAGAGGGTTGGTACATTTAAGTAAAAAAAAGTTTTGAATTCTGTTGTTTTCTTTCCAGAAATAGGTAAAGTAACAACATGCAACAAAAGATTAGATTTTATTGCCCATTGCTTTAATCATCCAACCAAGCCAACAAGTGTAATTAATTTTTCTTTTAGTTTTATATAAGCAAATGATATGATGATATTGAATTGATAACAGTCAACATATATAAGATCGAAGAGAATAATAAAATGGAATTAGAAATTATTTAAAAAATTATAAACATTAGATGCAAGTAGATAAGAACAAACAGAAATTCTGACTGGAAGATCCTTGGTCTATTATTAAAACTGAGATTTACAGATAGTGAGAAAATCTCTGAAAGAATTTTGATCAAAATATAAAAAAAAAAAATCTGTAATTGCTTTTAGATTGTGACTTTCCATAAAGCTATTAGAAAAATTAATCAACATATTTCTGTACTATAAATCTCCAGGCTTGCCATTACAAGAATTAATTGTTTTTTACCCTTCACTAATTCATTTGCATTTTTGTGTATATTTGATTTATAACGGTGAACTCTTCTTTAAATAAGGTAAATTTTGTGCAGTTATTTTGTATATAGTATTACTTCATATTTATCTCTATGATACATATCTTGTGAATGTTCATTTTTAATATTTTTAAAGTGTTGTTTATATTTTTATAGATTATAATTTTGTTCCAAATTTTGTTCAGGTAATAGAGCAGTAGTTATACCTGTGTGCCACACATTGCTGAAATGGACTGATCAGGTTGGTATATTAATGATCACCTTTCTCTGTTGCCATTTTCCCTTAGAAAGAATGTTTACTTATTGACAAGAATGGATCAGCTAAAACATTACAAACACAAAATGGGGGTTCATTTTTCTGAACAAAGTTTAGAAAATTAACATTTCTTCTCAATACTGAAGACAATGTAACTTTATGTCTATATTTGTTTCCATCTTATAAACTTATTAACTTTTCAACTTTGGTTTATTGAATAAATCCAAGTAATGCTTTAAACATATCACTTTTCTTTCATTTAATAGAGATCAATTATTTAAGGATGTTTAATTAAATTTTCCCAGAATTTGTAGAAAGAATTCATGTGCTGTTTTAATTATGAAGTAATTTACCCATGATAAAAATGAAGGCTTTTTTGTAAATATATTTTTTTTTACAATTATTATTGTAGTACTTTTCTCTTTTACAAAGATTCTTTGCACTTACTAGCTTTAGCACAAGATAGATAAGTAAGTACAACAAAATATCTTAAAGATATTACAGACAAAACACCGCTTGGTGTATTATATAGTAAAATAGAATAAAGTTAAAAAGTAATAAGATTTGTTGTAAATTTGCATCAAAAAATAAATTATAATGTAACACTATACCTGAGATAATCCTGATCATGTCAATTAAATGTAACACTGTACATACTGTCTTTCTGTGGTAACCTTAAAGTTGAAATATTTGGTTGTAATACCAAATGAAACACTATAGGTGATGGATGGGCTTGTGTTCTGGTCAGTGGCTGGGTGATGTCCTGAACAGAAGAATGCTCCACATTCATTATGTTAAGAAAATCCGAATAAGTCCTAAGCTCAGAGTTGAAATGTTGAAAGCCCAAGCCAGACAAGTATCAAACAAAACTAATGTTGGCAGACCTCCAAAATAAATTGAAGTCTTGGAATAATGAAGAATGAGGCCAGAATACCTTTAATAAAATATTAATAAGATGTAATTTATTCTAGTTCTTAAGTTTATAGGTGTTTTAAGATAGTATACTCTTTTACCCAATCCTAATGATTGAACTTTGAATTGTTTATTCACAACTATGATAATGACAGAATAACAGTCATTTCTGATGGCTTGTTTGAATGTATGTTAATGAGACACTAGTTTGTTGCAATGACCAGGGCTGGTTTATCTATTAATGTGTGTCACATCTACCCATGTCTTTTTCCTCATTCTCCCACTTTTCAAAGATTGAGGTACTAATCTGATGGACTGATCTTGTGGCTGCTAATCCAATCTGCTTCTCACATGTCTCTGTTTTTTTCATCTAGAGCATGTCTCTTATTTCTGGCAGCCTAGCTGCCACCCAATGTTAGAGATCCCAGTCTACCCTGCTATTTAACCCATATCTGGAAGAAGGAGAGCTTTAGTGTAAAGTGAATACAATGGACCACATTAGAACTCAGCCCACTGATTCTACTTCTGTACTGATAACTTAAGTGACCTATACATCATATTGAAAACTACAAACTGTAAAAAACATTTTTTCTAATACAATGGTCTTCTCTTGTGCACGTCTAGTAATTAAGAATGAAATAAATTAATCATTAATCAAAGTTTTATATATTAAATATTCATAACATTATTTTCTACTAACAAGCTTTTGATTGATTTTAAGTGTAAACTTTCATCTTGGAAATTAATCAAGATTCAGCATATAACAGTGTATTATAAGATTATAAGTTGTATGGGGAAATGGTATCTTTGGGTAAAAAAGAAAAAAATAAGTATTTTTCATTATGTTTATTAGTTTATATTTGTTACTTTTTATTTAATTAATATATACAGGGTGTTTCACAATTGTTGAAACAAAGTAGCTGCCTCTTAGATGGGGGAGACCTCAAGGAGTATGAGGGCCTTGAGGAGGAGGAACAGTGCAAAGCTGAAGTGGAATGGGCACGTCACTCACCTGACCTGAATCCCCCAGATTTCTTCCTCTGAGGGTTC